AAGGTCATACACGTAAGCCCTGTTAACGATGGGTGCGAGGATGATGTGGTGTCCATTCTCTGTCCTGGATCCGTCCGCCGGCGCTTCTCATACTGGTCGAGTTAACACAGCTCGCCACACACTCGGAAGCTCTGCCCCGTCCATTCAGTTCACACAACTGTTCGTTTTGCTAATCTCAACCACCTCAGCAGTCAGCCTCTGGGGAATTGATCGCAACCCCTTACTAACGAGTTTGACGTTATCCAACTCGATCTCATGTCCTGTATCTATCGCGTTCATCGCTACTGCCGAACTCCTTAGCAGAGCCATATATTCAAGCTCGTTTCTCGGTGGCCGTGTAATGCGGCTTTTGTGCTCTGTTATCCTTGTGCGTAGCTCTCTCGCGCTTTGACTGATGCATACGTGTGCGTAGTCTTTGCAGCTAATTTTGTAGACGCGATTGGTTGTCTTATCTGCGGAGAGTGGTCTTTCAAGTGCGCTAGTGTAGAGCGGAGCGTTTGTCTTTTCTTGGAAATCACCCTTATGTTTTCTTTATTTAAGACCCTCCGGATGGCCTCCGACGTTCCATCTTTATAAGGAATACCTACCGTCCCAATCCACTTTGTAGTACGCCGTGGGTGAGAATTAGAAATTCGCTGCAACTGGTGTTTCACTAACCGCCTCGGGTATCCACTACCAATCAATTGGTTCATTGCTTCTTTCCGCGCGGCCTTCCTATCTTCTTCCTCTGTGCACAGGGTCTGGGCTCTGTGAAACAGAGATGAGGCGATTCCAACATCCACATGCTCTAGGTGACCTGAACTATAGTGGAGTACATCATCTGTGTCCGTCGGCTTACGATATATCGTTGTTTTTAGACTATCCCCATTCCTGTGAACTAAGCAGTCAAGGAATGGCAATGTCCCACTGCCAGATTCCAATTCCATAGTGCAATTTATAGTCTCCGTAAGAGTGTTCAACGGTTTAGAAACTCTTCTTTCTTATCCCGTTTTATGATAACAAAGGTGTCATCCACGTAGCGCCACCAAATTTTCGGTGAGCTACAAGAGTCAGTCAGCGCCCTCGTTTCAAAGTCTTCCATGTATAAATTTGCCAATACAGGGGATATTGGCGATCCCATGGCAAGTCCCTGTTCCTGAGTGTATAATCTGGACTGGAACGAAACAAGACATGTTGAAGCACAATGTCATTCCTTCTGTTATTTGATCTACCGTAAGTTTTGTCCTCTCTCCCAGGTTACTGTCCCCAGTTAGACGGTGTTTCGCTATCTCCAAAGCGTCGCATATGGGCACGTTGGTAAAGAGCGAGCTAACGTCGCAACTGACCATCATTTCATCCGACTCAACCTCAAGACCCGACACTTTTCTCGCAAAATCATAAGAGTTCTTTACGAATGTATTCCTTTGCCCTGTCAAGGGTTGGAAAATGCTAGCCAAATATCTAGCTAGTTCATGCGTCGGGGGACCTATGCTATCTGCAATAGGTCGAGTGGGTACATCGGGCTTATGTATCTTCGGTAAGCGATCGACTCTTGGTGGAAGAGATGATTTTGGGTATGTGATATACCATTTTCCCGGTCCGAGATGCTCTTTTACGTTCCTTAAGTAATTACCAACCTCTGTCTTATTCTTATTCATCACTGACATCACGGACTTATTGTCGATAATCCTATATGGTCCCGTCACCAGGTGCTCCTCCATTTTTTCCAAATAATCTAACTTGTTCACTATCTTGGTGGTTTTTGCCTTTATCGGCCTTCATGATAATAATGTTCGGATCTTCTTTTAGGGCAGTTAATGTGACACGTTCCTCTGGCGCAAGATTCGACTCCTCTGGCTGCTGCAATTTTATAATGTTTACAAGCTCTGCACGAATGTGTTCAGCCGTTGAAGCGGGTAACTTTGTTAAAGCAGTCTCCACATTAGGAATAACTTCTTCGGCTTTTATCTTGGATTAATTCATAGTAACTATCAAACCCTTTTCCAGTAGTCTACGCTCTGTTCCACTCAACACTCTAGCTGAATTATTAACTACGTTACAATATCTGTTGCTACACACAGGCTTACTAGTTGGACCGGTGGTCTTGCTATGTAAGGACATCAAATTATGAAACTTACGGATCTGTCTTCCTTTTGTGCTCCTTCCTTGCGTTGACTTAACAACCGAAGCGTTGTTTTAAAGCCTGTAATCGCCCACCTGAATTACGATACTCTGCAACTCCGAGCTCAGCCGATTTGCATGGAGTCGGACTTAACCCAGACGTCGAGTCGTCAAATAAATACGTTGTTTCATGAATGCACTAATTGTGCGCTGGAGAGACCCACTCCCCGCAGATAAGACAACCAATCGCGTCTACAAAATTAGCTGCAAACACTGCGCACACGTGTACATCGGTCAAAGCGCGAGAGAGCTACGCACAAGGATAACAGAGCACAAGAGCCGCATTACACGGCCACCGAGAAACGGTCAGGAAAGCCATATCTAGGTACAGCCTCCGGGACACTTTCGAATTTCTTGACTCGGTGCAACAACTAAATCTAGCTGGACGTAAGATGTTCTCACTAGATGTGACGTCACTTTTCACCAACGTCCCGTTAGAAGAGACCATTGACTATCTCTGCGAGTTTATCCAATTGCACAACTTCAACATCGGTATTCCAAATGACTGTTTAAGGCAACATATGTTGGCGTGCACTAAGAACATCTAGTTTCGGTTCAACGAGACGCTTTACAGACAGATAGACGGGGTAGCTATGGGTTCACCATTAGGACCGCCACTCGCCGATGTCTTCATGAGTAAGTTGGAGAACACTCAGCTAAACGAATGTATCAACAACTTGGTTTACTACGGTCGATACGTAGATGACATATTTTGTGTTGCGGATGATCGAGTATGCATCGAAGATCTGTTAGCCCACTTCAACGCTGCACATAACAACATAGTGTTCACCATGGAACTTGAAAGTAACAACTCGTTGTCATTCTTAGATGTCCACATCACCAGAACATCAGACGGGACAGTACAAAGGAGAGTACATAGAAAGACAACTTGGACCGGTCAATATACTCATTTCGCCAGCTTTGTTCCAATGAGTCAAAAACGCAACCTGGTCCGTTGTCTAACGAAAAGAGCTAGGAAAATATGCACGGAAGATACGCTGTCAGATGAACTGCGTTTTATTCGAAGCGTTCTCGAACAAAATGATTATCCGGACAAATTCATCCGGAGACACATGGAGCCACGAGCACCTAAAGTCCAACCAATCACCGCTGAAAAGCGCTTAATCTACTTATCACTACCTTTCAAAGGTGATGTGATAGCAGAACGAACTACTCGAAGGCTCTGCAATGCAACAGCGAGAACGTACTTTGCAGCTGACCTCCGCGTCAGCTTCACTTCTACGCCAGTCGTGAGTCAGCATCTCAAGGACAGATTGCCGAGGTCGAATATTTCCTTCTGTGTGCATCATTTTTCTTGCTCGTGTCGAGCAAGTTATGTTGGAAAGACGACCAGGAGACTGTCTGAGAGAGTGCGAGAACATTGCCCGGCGTGGCTCTACACTGGTGTCAGAAAGACAGTAGTCAGCACGGTGCTGGGGCATTTGGCCGACACAAATCACCAAGTGAATGTGCGAGAGGCCTTCCGGCCTATCTACAGGATATCTGGACGCCACACGCGAGCCCTCCGATGTCGCCTATTGGCGACAGCGGAAGCAATCGCTATTCGGCTCCATAATCCCGAATTGTGCACCCAAAAGAAGTTTGTACATGCTCTACAGCTGCCATGGCCTCAAGCTTCCCCATGTTACGACACCACGCCTGACCCTTCCACTAACGATGCCCACTTGATCGCATTAACCGGTCAATTCACTTCATTGATTTATTGTATTTAAATACCCTGTGTTTGATTTATTCCTATCATCTGTGGTGTGTTGGCCTGATGCGATCCACCGAAAACAAGCTTGTTCGCCTAACTGTCTTTTGATTCTGATATATGGCTCTGCTAAGGAGTTCGGCAGTAGCGATGAACGCGATAGATACAGGACATGAGATCGAGTTGGATAACGTCAAACTCGTTAGTAAGGGGTTGCGATCAATTCCCCAGAGGCTGACTGCTGAGGTGGTTGAGATTAGCAAAACGAACAGTTGTGTGAACTGAATGGACGGGGCAGAGCTTCCGAGTGTGTGGCGAGCTGTGTTAACTCGACCAGTATGAGAAGCGCCGGCGGACGGATCCAGGACAGAGAATGGACACCACATCATCCTCGCACCCATCGTTAACAGGGCTTACGTGTATGACCTTGTAAGGTGGACCACTTGTGACCGTTCCATGCACTAGTTGGAATGATGCGTTGACCTGTAACGCGATTGACCTCTGCCTACACCTCATTCGTAGCGATTATCATGTCAGTTCGCTGTAAGTGCTATACCACTCCTCGACTGGTTCATTCGGCCTGAGGAAGCTTTTGTGTCTAAAGCGAAACGTTGCCCACAAACTATACCAACAAGTTGTTTTCAAACGTTTCTGAAATCATGAGTTCTCGATCGATTCCAAGTCTTTTCCAGGATGTTAACTGCGGGACCGTTTAGTTACCCACCGTCTTACCTTCACGCTGCTTTTGTCCTTGAAGAGCAATAGATACACCTTCAACTTTCTGTCACCTGCACATGGTGTGCAATCTGTTAATGGCCGACTGTCTTTTTCTTTGAATTTGTGTATCTTGTTTTTTTTAGGTTTACCGTATCCTGAGACCACAGATGCTGTTTAGTAGCCACTCTTTCATTTACCCTTCTGTTTTGCTTTACCTCACCATTTAAAGTACAAATTGGATGACTACTCTTATAAAGTCGTACCACTATGAATGGGGATCTTTTTACATGGAGTAGCGTTGTTCTTGCCGCTGAGTTTCTGTCTCTATTTCGTCTTCATTTTGTCCCCTTGTACCCTACGCGCTTGTTGCCACTTAACAACTTATCTTCCCTTTTCCACCCAACAACAGTCACGGCACTCATGACCCGGGTGAGCATCTTCAACATCTATCTCCTCCAATGGTGTTTGGCTTTGTCGATTCTTTGATCTTTGACAATTCAAGTTTGTACTTTCGCTGTCCACTCATCATGACATGCAATATAACATTTGGCGTTATTTCGTGTTGACGCCACTACAAACCTCTAGCAACCAAAGTAACAGCTCTGCTAACGTATTTTCTGACCTGCACGCTTTTTCTTTTTTCAGTTATCCTCGATTCCTCTTTATATCGCGTGTCCTTGCAACGTGCCCAGTACCTATCGATTACTGTCACAGCAAGTAGAATTTTAAAACTGTATGACTCCATCTTAATATGATCAGTAATATCATACGAATATCTGCCACCTGTTGATACTGTATTCCTTCTACAAGCTATTTTGTAGCGTGTGAAAAATCTGTGACTTAAAGTATCACTGGGCTCACATATGTGATATGTCTGTGTCAGTGTGCAGTCGTTCTGCTAATCGAATGTCCGTGAAACGTAAACGCCTGAACTTCTAAACTGTTCTGCAGCTTTGGGCTCCAAGATACATTCCTTCCCCGCTGACAGTCGAACTCAGGATGCCTAAGGGAAAGCCGGGATCCTTACCGCTACACACATTTACGATGATAGATATGCATCGGAACGTCGCTTGTGTTATCATGACGTGCCCGGTTATGTTTTCTTCTCCTTCATACAGTGTTTTTTCTCTACCTCGTTGCCATCATCCTACATATCCTTCTTTTTACAAAATACTGCTTTTATCAGTAGCACGAAACTGCATCGTCTCGATATTGCTTTTCTGCGCTGATTTATTATTATTATTATGTTGTCGCGCATTAGCTAAAGGTGAGGACCATTTTTGCTAATTTGCCGCAATACAAAAAAATTGGATATATGAAAAAGCGAGACACCAATATTTACCTAAGAAAAAGTAAAAACCAAAACACAAATATTGCAATGCTTAATATCCTATAGTGTTTCGGGGCGTGAGTTTGTGAATAGAGGGGAAGGTAGGAGAGAGTGGGAGAGACACAGCAGCTCACGATACAAATGTCATTGAAGTCCGCTGTTCTTCAGGTTGACATGTGTTCATCGCGCTTGTGTTCCAAGCTCGGCGGCCGGCAAATGCCAACGAAGGCCAAGTTCGAAGTGAGCTTTTTCATTTCTCTTGACAAAGTCATCCTTTGGTTTCCCATCCTCTTCTTCCATCTTCAACGCGGTTGCGCAGACAACGCACCCCGCGAAACTAATTATGCTGGCATGCGTAACATGTGGTCCAGCCTTCCGAGCCTGGTGCTGAGCAGTTCATTCACACTTCTTACACCCAATACGCGATGCCGAACACATTCATTGCTCACGCGGTGTTTCCACTATATATGAACTAACCAGTGAAGTCCGTGACGGTCGATGGTATCTGCCCTCTCTACGTCTGTCGACCTGATGGACTAGGTTTCGTAACAGTTCAGGTGAGTTAAACAGAGCTGCATTGTAAACACTGCCCTTTGTGGCGTGTGTGAAGTCGCGTCAGCACCACAGGTGTCTGAGATTGGCAAAAGCGCTTTGAGCTATTGCTATACGGTTCGTGCCCTCATCTTCCATCCCAAGGGCGTTAATATAGTTTCGTAGAGGGCGACTTCTAGCTGATGACTACCAAGGGTCAGCGCATGGGTTGGTCCCTGCCAATATTGAAGGAGGACTGCATTTCGAGGGCACAAAGCAAACCCGAAACGACAGACAGCCATTGCTGATGTCTGCAGTGCTGCTTGGAACGTTTGGGAACTGTCACAAATGAGGGCATTGTCGTCGGTATGCATCACGTTAACTAGTCGATCACCTGACTGCAGGTCCGCACCATCCAAGTCGTGTCCAGTGCATGTACCGTCTATAACGCCGTCAATGGGGAAGTTAAAATGGGAATGTGACAGCAGACATCCTTGCCTTACACCGCTGGGGATATTGAAGAGCGGTTACAGTTTGCCATAAGCCAGCACATTCTGCCCGAACTGTGGATGTGCAACGCTCTGAAAATGTCTATATGTTTATCAGGCAAACCTTTCCTGAATGGGCAGTTCCAAATGGCACATCGATCCACCGGACCGAAGCCACCTTTGATGTCCAGAAACACGATTACGCTGGGTCGCCAATATATATGACTGTAATCCAACAACTGATATAAGGTGAAGATTTGGTCAAATCAGTCTCGATTTCGAGTAAACCCAGCATGGTCCAGGCGAATCAGGCTTTCACGACTGCCAGTCAGTTTGTGGGTAAAGACAGATGCAAGCTATTTGGAGGCAATTGATACCATACTGATTCCTCAATGAATTCCGCTTTCTGATTTTGAACCCTTTTGAAAATTGGGACTGTATCGGATCGGTTCCAGTCTGTTGAGACAGTCTTGTGCTACTACAGCTTCCATAATAACTTTTGTAAATTATCCACCAGTGCTGGTCCTCAAATTTGAAGAGGGTTGAAGAAGTTCATCTGTTCCTGCGGCCTTATGCAATTTTATCTTTCTGGTCTGATATTCGACTTCTGCGTGTGATAGCGGATCCAAGGCGACGGTCCAGGGAGGCGTGGGTCACTGGTAGGTAGTGCATTCACTGGTCCCGTGTTATTAAATTTCACCTCAAAATTCTTAACCCAACACTGCCAGCGTTTTGACAAGATGCGGATTGACTTTCCGCTTTCGTCGCACATGGTTTCACGGTCTCCATTCCGGTTGGGATCTTCACGAGTGTCATGTTTTGTACTGCCGGTAGTTGCCCGCAGCATCTTATGGTTAGTTATAGTTTGCCCCATAGAAATCAAAAGTCATCTCATTGGGCTTTTGGTTTCTGGCTGTTTAACTCTGGCGGTAACTGGTTTGCATGACGGACTCAAGTTTTCTACCCAGTCTGGACGTCACAAATGGTGTTGTCACGCTCGATTTGATTTTCCCTAATGTCCGTGCTACATGTTCCTTCCGTCAGTCGCGCTCGAGTACTTGTTCTCCGGATTTGAGTGAGCCTTGTGCAGTTGTAATTTTTCCCATCTTCCAATACGTTTCACCGTTTGAATACTCTTTGGCTGTACTGGATGGCATGTGGAGCCTCCTGTTCACCATTTTACTATGAACGCTCGGTTCGGTTTCTACGAATTTGACGTGAACTGTTACAAGAAAAGAATTTTGTCAGCCATTCGTTATATACGTCGCTTTCTTGACGTCGTCAGGGCGCGCTTGAATGTATCCACCAATCCTTGCGCATGGTTATTAGATTGCTTCTGGAACAGCGATGGGCAAATGTTGCAGTACTCCGTGAACGCGGCCGATATCAACTGGGTGCCGTTGCCTGTCGCCGCCACTATGTCTGGACAACAAAACCTGCTGAAAATCCGCCACCTTTTTGATGGTTTTGCTCTTCAGTTGCTACAAAAGTTCGCTATTAATGAAAAAGTTTAGCTGTAGATGGGGCCTGCGAAGTCTGTATGCGGTGAATTTACCACTCAATTCGCAAGCTGGAGTATGACGCTATCTAACTCTGGATTCTCACTAACTATTTGTTTGTCCACTCTATGCCCCATGCTTACTTGCCCTCCCGACATAAGTGGTATGTAATTCGCAAAATGAATAACATGATTTGTTCCTTTACTTCTACCACCTATCCGCTCACCCAGTTTATGTGCCATGGTTACCTGCTTACCGACATAACTATTATGTAATTAGCAAGCCGCATTTCGGGATCTCAGTCTGGATGACCAAAGCAAACGCCTGCTCTAATTGATGAGCGCCGGCTTACCGATTATCCTCCATGTGAACTCACATCGATGTTGCCATGAGTTAACTTAATCTCTCACTGTGGTGACCGTTCGCTCACACGATGCAACCCGTGCAGACCACCCCACCCACACACACCTCAGAGTTGTATCATCCTCCCGTCCCAGGGGGCACGCACCTCCATGTTCCTCCCATCCCCACTGTTCGCCTGAGCCAAACCACCCCAAGAGCCCTGCCCATCGCGTTCCGTTTCCCACAATTTATAGCGAACCAATGAACTAAGGGTTAACGGACCTAATAGAAGAAAGGTCGTAGTCCGATCGTGGACTCGGTATCGTGTGACTTTCTGTACGGTGGCAAGTACCGTTTGCATTCCTTTTGGACATTGTGTAGGCCGGAGTTGGACTTGGAGAATCCCCTGGTGGTTGGGTTGCTACAAGCAACCTCTATTGAGACCTCGGTTCACTTGAGGTGGACCTCAGTCATTCCGATCAGAAAGACCGTAAGTAATGGAAACATTACAGTATTGCTCATCCCAACACTGGCACCCCAAGACCGCGATTTCGTCCTGGTTGGGACTCATCAGTTGGAGATAGCCTGAGTTGGGCTGGAACTGAGAGCCTAGTGGCTCATGGTTGACGCCATAAGCACTATGCCACTGAGATCCGCGAGCAACACTTGTTCCAGCGGAAACGAATGCAAAGTTTCCATTGTGTAGGCTGGTTGTTTCGGAACTGATCGGGTATTTGCCGAACGATGTACATATTGTATTTTGATTATTATTTAAATAGTATTACAGTTAACGTGTCGGCTTCCTTTCTGTGTTGGACCCGGGACTTTTTACTTGTCACTCGAGCCCGCAAGCAAATGTGTCGGTTACAAAGTCGACATGAACTTTTTACCATAGCTTTTTATGTATTAGCCGTGAATGCCAAGAGCCTCGACTTTTGTGCCGCCTTAGGTGCTATGGATCGCTTGGGGCATCGTCTGGCTAACTCTTTCAGTTGCTTGTCCATGAGAATCTAGTACTCGTAGCTGCGAGCGTGCGATTTCATCTCTGTATATCCTGCTTGAAACTAACGCAGTACGTTTTCTTACAAAGCTTTTGTGATAACCACTTCCGAGGCTAGTATGTCTTCCTCCACAATGGAGAGTGAATGTCTCCCCATATAGTACTGTATCCCTTCGGACGACGTACACGAACATGGTCAATTTGTTCGGTGGAGATGTGCAACATTCTTGACTAAGGAGTCCCAGGTTGTTTCAGCTCGTACAGCCTCTGCGGTAACTGACAAGCTATGCAATACGTCGTTCATCACAACATTGGCGTCAGACTCAATCTTGACTGATGCAATGTTGGTGTCCTTCTTTTTCTTGCCACTGAGAGGGAATGTGACGTGACAACGCATCTGCCTGACTCCCATACGTTGTCGATTGATATCGGATCTCAAAGTCCATAGATCAGAAAGGTGAGCCCAGCGCTGAAAAATGTTGGCTATATAGACAGAAATACCCCTTTTCGAGCGGAAGATAGCTACTAACCGCTGGTGGACCATCATATTTGAATTGGAAGACATGTAACATCTTGTGGAATTTCTTCGCTGCAAGTATTATGGACATTGCATCCTTCTCTACTTGGCTATAGTTTCTGTCAACTTTTGTCAGCGTCCTAGTGATTTGAGTGACCGCTTTTTGGAAGCTGTTTGTATGTTTACCACATCTGGTCGACGGTCATGCTTTTCAAGGATGAAACCGAGGAATTCGGAGTGAAAATGTGCATTTGTCCTCTCGCATTCGGAAACTGTACTACTGCCATGCACTTCGTCAAG